TCACTATACTATTTGGCATTTGTACGAACCTAGTGTTGACGATATCAAGCATATGGAAGTACGTGATTTCCTTGAACCCCTTCTTTCGTAGTCTTCTGTGCTAACCACAATTCACCATAGGAAATGGAAAGAGAAAGAATTGCTCGCGAGAAGGAAGAGGAAGAGCGAAAGATCAAGGAACAGCAGATCAAGGAAGAATTTGGTGATGCCAATACTCAATGGGAACAGGACAAGCAGCAGATGCAAGACTTGAAAGACCGTGGAAGCGAGAAAGAGGCTGGATTGAATCAGGGCGCAGCCGCAAAGGCAGCAGGGGCTATAGAGGGACAAAAGAATTAAGCATGGGCTTGGATCATTTAGAGTAATTAATTTATTTCGACGAGATGGGTTCCTATGTACAGATGCAGTATGCATCTTTCCCCGATCTGGTCTTCGCCAGCAAAAGCAGAATCTAATATAATAACGCCTAACAACGAAAATAACTTATGACTCCTCCCTGACCCAAGGCATTCCGAGCTCTGTCACTTGGTAAACGAGTATCCAAAAGGCCTTGCTAAACAAACTTCAAAAATAGATTGATCCTGCAGAGTTGCTTTGAGTAGACAAGCTCTCTCCCCTTACGGCCGGACTATCCCTGGTTCGGCAGGCAGAGGATTATTCTCATAATGCCATTATGCCGCAGCGGGTAGACAGTCCAGCCCGTTGTTCAAAAGGCCATGGGCGGTTGCCAGAAATCATATGATCAAGTGGCTGCTTTGAATTCGATGCGTACAATATACTGCAACCCAGGGCCCCCTCTCTGTAGCCTTGTAACTAAAAATACATCACCCGATTCGACCTGAAACGACGTACAATCCAATATGGCCAGATTTTATGAGTCGAACCGCTCAGGAAGCAGAATTGGTGCAACAAGCGTCCAGATGTACATTCCATGGCAGATCCAAGCGCTGACGATCTTGACCCAGCTTGCACCGTATGTACGGCCAACTGTGGCAAACTGGCCATCCCGAGTAGACTCTTCGAAATTAAGAGTGAGCAATGTCGATACCCATGCCGTGGCTAGGAAGAAGATGATGTGGAACATTGAGTAATTATACTGAGTGCTGGATCTCTCATCATCATGTGCATGATTTGCGCCATCATCATCGCTCTCGTCGTCAGAGAGTAGAGCATCGGCCGGTAAACTGCCCTCTTCGACAGCACGACGCAGAGCCTCTGCCCGCATTTCACGACGATGGATAGGCTGCTGTGTGACCAAGTCATGCTCATCATCTTCGGGAAGTTGAATGCCGTTGCCGTTGCCTCCCAAGCCAAGGCTTTGGGTAGCGGCACGGGTAGTGGTGTAAGCAACCGTAAGCATGGTGACAATGGCACCAATGACGACGGATGTGGTTCTTGTCCCCTGAGCGCGAACCAGGGGGTTGCAGTTCTTGTCATCAGGTTCCATGGAAACAGCTGACATTGTCAAATAGGTGCAGTAGACGGCAACCATTGCGGCTTGAGCTAACCCAGCCTTGGGGTTGTATTCCTGGACTGTGGGGTTAACCGATACGACAGAAATAATCAGCCAGAGAATGAGGTTGACAGTGATGGCGGTCTGGTTCATGGTGCAGCTACCCTGGGCAAAGAAGATGTATTGGACGACAGTCATCGCAATCGATGCCAAGTACATGCCCAAGGTTGAACCAACAAGGACGATTCGCCAGACCCTAGAGTCAGTCTCTTCGATCTGTCCCAGGCAGTATTCAGCCCAGCTGTGTGCCAAGTCCACGAGTAAAATGAGACCGAGGATGAGGAACAGCATGGCAGCCCCAAAGGAGACGTAGTTCCCCCAAAACATGAAGAATTTGTCCGGGATGAGGAAGGACATGACAATCAATGCCAGCCAAGCGATGATCTTGGGTCCCCAGTAACCATTTTGTATAGCGGCTCGAGGGTTCTTGGAGGATCTGACACCGAAGAGAAGGCCAGCGAAGATGAGGTGTAAAAGTCCGAGGGCAAAGTTGATTCGATGGGCAGCCAGCCACCCATAGCACTGTCCCGTTGGGCAGTTGATTTTGACGTAATCAAGCGCGAGATGTTGGAGTTTCTCGATGGCCCAGTCTGTGAGCATGATCCATGCTAAGATGGAGTTGACGAGGAGAAGTAGAGCGTAGGCGATACGCGTAGCTATGCTGTAAGGTTGTCAGCGAAACATCAAAGAGCTTGCGGCGAGACGGATATCATACCTGTTACCGCATTTGCCACACGCGCTGCAGACCATGGAGCATGTTGCCGCACCGCAGCAGCTGGCGAAGCAAGATACCACCTATACAGCGCAAGTCAGCAAGTCGAATGTCAACGAGCAAGCAGTATCATCAATGCTCCAAAGGCATTGAAGCGCCGGGTATTAAATCCGGACTTCAAGCGACTCCATGGCGCAAAGGGCGATATGAACGTACCGTGCCCATGCTGGGTACCGCGAGCAGCGGTAGAGAGAGAAGGGCGCCCATCTTGTAAACTAACGGCGCATGTGTTGAAAATACGGCAGATCGCAGACACGCGATGAAAGCGGTTGATGGTACTTGGGCTGCGATGGTTTTGAAACAGGATGAGGCGTCCTACTGACGACAGACCCGTGACCAGCAAGATGACATAACTGCTCGTATAGAGTTAGGCGCAAATTAGCACATGCTTAAGTACATTGGCACCGAGATAAGGGGCTCGCTTAAATGCATACAAACGTCATCATACGGGCACGCATTTAATTCAGGCATCCCGGATAGATTTACACAGAAGTCAGTAGAGGGCTAAGAAATAAGACAGAATTTCTGTGAGAATTCGCCAGGGTATTGCTAAGACAAAAAAAAATATTGGCTATCGATGTAAAAATCCTATATCTCAAAAGTAGATCCAAGGGTGCAGTGTAGTGCAGCCGCCATAGGCTCACTACTACAATTGCTAGTAGAACTCATAACCCAACCTCCAGTCTATGCCAAGGACGTTATACCAAAACACATCAGTCTTCCTCGTCTAGCTTGTCTTTCCCTTTCAGATACCGGGCCCTCTGATGGTGAATGATATATAGGGTGAGGATTAATCCTAGAGCATTCGCGGTCGCGGTAACAGTGTAAGCACCGCGATAACATGCAATACCATCGTCGCAGGATCTCGTGCCATCAGGCTCAACGACGCTGTGGTGGTCATATATCCTTCCATACAGCAGATTGAATACATTGCCAGAGGCAACAGGAGCCAACATCATGAAACCCCAATTCTGACTCAGCCCGCGGATGCCAAACGTCTCTGCAACAATGGAGGGGAAGACGCCGAAAAGGAAACCATAGGCTAAGCCGGAAAGGCCTGAAACAAATACAAGTTTCTGCGGCATCTCGATTTGTAGGGCACAGATTTGAGCTAGAAGAAAGATGAGACAGGCCACGGCAAGGCACCAGATACGGCTAGCACGAAGAGTTTTGACCAGATAATCAGAGCCAATTCCTGTATGACGAATTAGCCAACTTGTTAGACAGTGGAGAGAATACGGGTGCTTGAGAGTGATTCAACGTAGTCTTACCACTTAGCAATCTTCCAACGAAGTTGAAGATGGAGAGGATGGATACATGTATCTGCTGATGGCTAACAAGGAACGGCTCGTCGACTGAGGGGTCATAATGTTTCCAGAGAGCATTTGCGTCATTTCCAATATTGCTTGACAACATGTTAATATTATCGACATATTAGAGTGGCGAAGGGTGTATATGAAATACGTACTTGATAGTCATGAGGCCAGTTCCAGCGAGGATTGCCATCATGGAGAACAGCTGCCAGAAGTCCAGGCTGAACAGGAGCTTTACACCTCGTATATCTACTCGATGAGACACGTCTTGATCAACACTACTGCGCCCAACTATGTCGACAGTTACAGCCTCGGGCATCAAAGTTGATGTCTCGTCAATAGGAGCATCTTCACCAGCTTCGGTGTCACTGAAGATAGCGGCGCGACTGGCGTCGGGTGCTGGAGGGGTCCCAGGTGATGATGTGTCCAGGTTTGGGTCAACGGCATCAGGATTGGACGACGTACCAGGTTCGGTTATGCTGCGCGCCCTCTCTCGAGAAGGTTGTGATGCGGGTGCCTGGGTTGGCACCTCCTGATAGGATACCTGAGGGTATACCTTTAGGAAGAAATAGCCGGAGAAAGTCAGGCCAAAACTGCCCCATGCCAGGAGCATCAGAAAGGAGCTGGTGCTCCCGGGGAAGAAGACAGCGCCGAGAAAGGAGAAGAAAAAGGCGCTGAGCCCAAATCCAGCCAGCGGGAAGGCCGTAGCCGTTCCACGATGGCTCGGCCAGTTGAGAGCAGATGTCTTGACAGCACCTGCAAATGCCATGCAACCGCCCAGGCCAGTCAGATAGGAGAAGAAGCAGAGCACAGGGACAGATCCTGCAGCTTTCTCAAAGGAGAGGCAGAGGGGGATATAGCCAATAGCCAGGAAAAAGGCGCCGGCAAGCACAGCAGGTCTTGATCCACGGTCGTCCACAAACATGCCAATGGGAATGCCCAGAGTGTACATGCCCAGGTTGCCGAACAGGCCGATCAAGTTGCTCTCCGTTGTGGAAAGCCTGAGCTTCTCGGCGAACTGAGGCGCCCATGCTGAATAGACGTACTATTTTGATGCCTCACAGTTAGTTGACGCTATACACATGCTGTTTTAGGGCACTTTCGGCACAAGACAAGGAAACGGTGATTGGACATGAAGCTAGCAGATTGCATGTACGGGATGGTTCTAGTATGCTGCAAATCACGATTTAGGGTGGTGTCTCACGTTTGTGCCGCAGGCCAGGGAAATGACCGTCGCAGCGACCGTGGCGATAAGCCGCTTACGGTGTGCGTCTTGTTCCTGATGCATAGCGACGTTTTTTCGAGATGATGCAAAGTAACTAGGAGGTTACTAGGAGCAGAGAGGCAGAGATCGGGCCTCTAGGAGATAAGTCGCACTGCGGTATTACGTGAAGCGGCGATGGATTTTCGTGTCTTAGATAGCAAAGCGCGACAAGGGCAGCGAGAGTCTCGTTTTACGACTGCTTCGCGATGCCCCTGAGTCCAGGATTCAGGAGGAGCAAATATGGATAATCAATCAATACAGGAAATGCGTAGGAATCAGGGGAGATGCGACATGGTCATTTGGAGCGCGACGAGGATGCTGGTGCGCTCTCCGGCAGTTTGCGCACAAGAAGCTCTCGAGAGCAGAATGTGAATGTGAGGTGCTGGTGATGAGATGAGATGAGCTCCCAGCAGCCACCTTGGTAGTAGTTACGTAGCAAGCTGCCATAATCTGGAGTGCGTGCTCCGTACTTGTACTCCATACTTTTTGGTTTGCTCCGGAATACGGAGACGGCAAGGCGGCTAGAGCTAGACGGAGTACGAGGTGCCCGCATGACCAGAGGCGCTGATCAAGGGTAGCGGGCGATAAGAGCACAGCAAAGCAAAAGCAAAAGCACAGCAAAAGCACAGCAAAAGCACAGTGGAGTTGGCAACAGATTTCATGTTCCCATAACGGTAAGCGGTCAGCAATTGTCGTTGGCAGTATTTCCCGCCGCTGGAGAGGCATCTTGGCATCTCCATGTTCTGATGGTGGCCACCCCATGCTTTTATGCTAAACCCAAGCCACATCACTTTCCAAAGGACATACGGAGGTGCCGCTGCTCCCCCACTAGTGCCTTTGTATTGGCCTTGAATCCCTTGCCCCGTAGCGTTCTTGGCGTTATCGATAGCCCTTCTTCTGCTTGTGTGGATGTACAAGCCCGCCGCAGGTACCAGCAGATTTTCGGTAACGCGGCTGTTAACCTCGGCTCGTGGGACTGGTCATATCCGGGGTCCAGTGGAGCCGAAGGCCCGATAGCGGTAAGCGGCGGCCTAGCCCAGCGTTATTTCTTGCATCTGGCATGTGCCGCGGTTTGGGACGTGTATGGCGCTCCAAAACTGCCCGCATTTATGAAGCAGACAGTCTGTTCTATATGATTCTTGCGGTTCCATTGCACTCTTCTGTCGCCCGGTAAAGACATTTGTCGCTTTGGTTTGCGAGGACTACCTTAGGCTAGGCAATACCCGACGCTTCTGCTTGTTCTTGCTAGTCCTGTCCGCGAATGCTGTAGCAGCGAAATTGCACCGAGCACCGATTCCCATTCTGCGGCACCCGATCCCATGAGCCGCGGTATCTGAGCGGATCTCCAGCAGCCGATATAAACACCACGCCGCCTTGACACGGCCGTCCCCCCTTTGCCTCCGTCCATTCTGCCATGTTGTCAGCAATCCGTTCCCAGAGACCGACAAATACCTTTCGACGGGTTGCCATCTCTTCTGTATGAGACTCTTGTTGCTCCTTTCTAATAAATCTTTCGGGACTTGCTAACTTACACGCCTGCTTACGGCAGACCCATCGCATCGCCATGGCACCGCCTAAACGCAACAGCAGCTCGCTGCCTGCCGGTATGTTCCTCCCGTGTGCGAGAGCGACATGGCCTTGATGATTTTACTCTTCAACGGCTCTCTCTTCTATCCGAAATGTTTGTTGCCCCGAGCTAATACCGGTATTCAACACTAGGCTATGTCGAGGACAAGTCGAAGGGCGCAATGCTCAGATTCCAAGACTCGCTTCCTCGCCTCCCAGTTCCGACCCTCGAAGAGACCGCCAAGCGGTATCTCAAGAGCTTACACCCCATTATCTCTGCCAGCGAGCTCGAGAAGAGCACAGCGGCCGTCTCCGAGTTCATCAAGCCCGGCGGAGTTGGCAGCAAACTCCAGCAGAAGCTCGTTGCCAAGGCTCAAGACCCCAAGACAAAGAACTGGATGTACGAGTGGTGGAACGATGCTGCGTACCTGAGTTACCGCGACCCGGTAGTGCCGTATGTCAGCTACTTCTACTCGCACAGAGATGATCCCAAGCGGCGCAACCCTGCCAAGCGGGCTGCGGCGCTCACCAGCGCTGTCCTCGAGTTCAAGAAGCTTGTCGACAGCGGCAGCCTCGAGCCGGAGTACATGAAGAAACTGCCCATTTGCATGGACAGCTACAAGTGGATGTTCAACGCGAGCCGTGTTGCCGCCAAGCCCGCGGATTACCCCATCAAGTTCTCTCACGAAGAAAACAAGCACATTGTTGTGATTCGCAAGAACCAGTTCTTCAAGATCCCCCATGAAGTTGCTGGTAAGCAGCTCAATGCCTCAGAGCTTGAGGCCCAGTTCAACCGTGTCTACCAAATCGCAAAGCGAGTTTCGCCCGTGGGAGCGTTGACCTCAGAAAACCGAGATGTCTGGACAGATGCGCGTGAGCTGCTGATTTCAGCCAGCCCCAAGAACAAGGCAGCCCTGGAGGCCATTGAGTCCTCCTCTTTCGTGGTCTGCCTGGACGATGCGTCCCCTGTTACCTTGGAGGAGCGCGCCCACCAGTACTGGCATGGCGATGGCGCCAACCGCTGGTATGACAAGCCTCTCCAGTTTATTGTCAACGACAACGGCACATCAGGCTTCATGGGCGAGCACTCAATGATGGATGGCACACCGACACATCGCCTGAACGACTACATCAATGATCTCATCTTCAGAAACAAGATTGATCTTTCAGACCCCAGCATCCGATCTGACTTGCCCGAACCTCAGCCCATCAACTTTGACATTACGCCCGAAATCCAAAGCGAAATCGACCGTGCCGTTACCGACTTTAACAACGTCATTGGACAGCACCAGCTTGCCGTCCAGGCGTACCAGGCCTACGGCAAGGGCCTCATCAAGCAGTTCAAGTGCTCACCAGACGCATACGTGCAGATGATCATCCAGCTTGCCTACTTCAAGATGTACGGCAAGAACCGACCAACATATGAATCTGCTGCTACTCGACGCTTCCAGCTGGGTCGTACCGAGACGTGCCGTAGTGTTTCTGACGAATCAGTCGCTTGGTGCAAATCAATGGCAGACCACTCAGTCGATGACAAGTCACGAGTCGACCTCTTCCGAAAAGCCATTGCGGCTCACATCGAGTACATCTCCGCCGCCTCAGATGGAAAGGGCGTTGACAGACACCTCTTTGGACTCAAGAAGCTCCTTGAGCCTGGTGAGGAAGTCCCGGCCATCTACAAGGATCACGCATACAGCTACTCTTCGTCATGGTATCTGTCCACTTCGCAGCTCAGCTCGGAGTTCTTCAACGGCTACGGATGGAGTCAGGTGATTGATGGAGGATTTGGAATTGCCTACATGATCAATGAGAACAGGTAAGAGATTGATCACCAACATTTTGCAGAGAAACTTTTGCTAACAAATCAATGCAGCATCAACTTCAACGTTGTATCAAAGGGTCTTGGAAGCGAGCGGATGAGCTACTATCTTAACGAGGCAGCGGGCGAGATGCGAGATTTGCTGGTTCCTACACTGGAGCCCCCCAAGGCCAAGCTATAAAGGTCTTTCTTATACGTATACACATATATTACTGTATAGACTCTTCCTTTATTAGGCGCTGCTCGTTTGGTATAAATGTAGATATAATACACCATTTTGATGCATCTTGCAGAGGCTTCTCATTTCAATCACGTAGGCAATTGGGAGATGGCGACATTGATAGCAGCAGCTACATTACTTCACGCCCGCTGTGCTTATGCCACCGAGGTACCTAAGGCTAAGGCCGAGAACCAATTTCTTACCACCGTGAAACATTTCGAGTATCAAGGCCCATAAGCTTATCGGTTTAATAGATAAGGTACAAGTGTCGATTTACCCAGCATGTATCTGCGACGCAACTTAGATAATTGGCAAGCGATAGTCTGCTCTGCGCACCGCTAGATGGCGCGCCTTCGCGTTAGCCTTGTTTTAGTACTCTGTACTTTGCGCTTAGGTACCTCGATAGGTCGCCTGCAGGCACATCAGGTCACTGCCGCCCGATAAACATGTTGCCGTGGTTTCGGCCAGCAAATCTCATCTTCAACTTTCAAACCTCTCTCTCACCAAGCTGGCCATGGGCGATCGCATAGACTCGGATCCCACAGAGGAGTCCGAGCAGCAACTGGAGCAAAATGCCGACATTGACTTTGTGACCTTTGGCATGCTCATTATCGGTGAGGCGTCCCCGCTACGGCCATGTTAGCCTCTAACAGCCTGGGGCTGACCGACCGTGTCCACGCGATTTCACGTCAAAAGATGATATTGATTTCCCTCCTCCAACGCCTTCTCGCAACAACGTTCTTGGAGGTGGCGGCTCTTATGCTGCCCTTGGCGCCCGCCTCTTCTCTCCTGAGCCGCTTTCGACAACAGTGGGATGGATTGTCGACCAGGGTTCCGACTTTCCGCCGTCTGTCACTTCGCTGATCGATAGCTGGAACACTTCAGCCGTGGTGCGCCATGATGCCGACCGATTGACCACTCGAGGATGGAACGGGTACGATGGCCCGGGCGACAAGCGCGAGTTTAAGTATCTAACGCCCAAGAAACGCATCACGAGCGATGATCTGCCGCCCAATTTGATCCAGTCCAAGTCGTTTCACCTCGTTTGCTCCCCGAGTCGCTGCCAGGAATTGGTCACCACCCTCATTTCTCGCCGCAAAGAAGCTTCGCCGCCCGATACATATACCAAGCCAATCTTCGTTTGGGAGCCTGTGCCTGACCTCTGCACGCCTGACGAGCTCCTCAACCTCACCAATACTCTTCCTTTGGTGGACGTCCTTAGCCCAAACCACAGCGAGCTTGCTGGTTTCATGGGCGACGATGGCTTGGACCCTGTAACCGGAGACATCTCTACGAAGGCTGTTGAGCGCTACTGTGAACAGCTTCTAGACAGCATGCCACTGCAATCGTTCGCCATTGTTGTGCGAGCTGCTCACAAGGGCTGCTATGTAGTCAAGAATGGCGGACGCAAGCGCCGACCTGGCCAGAGCACCAAAACGGCTCGAAAAAAGAATTATACACGAGGCGGACTGCGGCCTGATATCGACATGACGGCTCTATTGGCCGATCTTATCCGTGACGAAGACGGCGGCATCGTTCGCGATGAGTTTGAAGTCGACCCTGGCGTCGAGCGATGGATCCCGGCCTACTTCAAGGATAGCAGCGACGTCGTCGATCCTACGGGTGGCGGCAACACTTTTCTTGGTGCTCTGTGCGTTGCTTTGGCTCGGGGGAAGAGCTACGAAGAAGCTGCAGTTTGGGGGAATGTCGCAGCTAGTTTCGCGGTGCAACAGGTGGGCATGCCGACGCTGGAATGCGAGGAGGGTAAACCAGAGACTTGGAACGGATGCGTTGTGCTAGACCGACTGCGCGAGTTTGAGGCAAGACTTTAGAATCATATTACCGTACATACCATTATCATATCTTTTATTCTCATCAACCTGTGACTCATGATTTCCCCGGGTTTCACCTTGCTGTATCCTGGACGTCTCCACATAAGAAACCTGGTTAAATATTCCCCATCCCATCCTGCCGCCCTCTTGAACCAGCCCCTAAACACCAGCACATGATCTATCGTTTAGATCTTAAATCTTGTAAATAACATCGCCGTCTCCAAACCTATTGTGCTGGTTAGCCAGGGGTAGTGATCATCGCAGTTGGTTGAAAAAACTTACATGATGTGATTGGCTTCCTCCAATTTCTTGAGTGCCTGGACAGCTTCGGGCTTGCTAAAAGCCCCTCCATCGTTGCCACCAATTCTATCGTTGATGGCTTGAATCACTGCATCGAGAGGGGCCGAATCATCTTCAAACACGCTGGTATTAAGCAACTGCCCCAGGTTTGTTCTAAAGGCTGATAATCGCTGAGGCGTGAGTGTAACATCCTCAATCTCCAGGTTGCTGGCGGCGCTAGCTAGACCTTCATCCTCGACTTCACCCTGGGTCTGAGGTAAAACCTGAGAAGCGGGTAGTGACGATGCGAAGGAGCTCTGTGTATCTAAATCGTGAGATGGATGAGAGCTGCTGCCCATGTCGGCTTCCACTGCCTGGGTTTGGCGGCCCGAGCTCTGGCTTGTAGAGCCGTTTGTTCCATTGAGCCTCGAATTTCTAGTCTGCATGCGTGTAGTTGGCTGTCGAGAGGCGCCTCTGCTCGGTTGGGTGGTGGATTGGCTTTGTTCATCGCCTTCTTCGTCGCCATCGTCGTCGCCGCTCTCATCGCTGGACGAGGCCAGGCCGGCAGCTTGTGTTCGTCTACGCTTTCTCCGTGAACTATCCTCCACGATTTCTTTGAAGAGCGCAAACCGCAAGATGCCCTCTGCGGCAATAGCATCTCGCTCTTCCACCCGACTGGATAATCGTGACTTGGCATGAGCAGTAGCTAATCGGATGATTGTCTCGAGAGTACGAACTGTGAGAGGACTCGTCCGCCTTTGGTTACCTTCCAAATCGTCATTTCGAAGACCAACATAGATGTCGGCAATTCGATCCGATGCTTCCTGGGAAAGGACAGGCTTGATCCGCTTAGCATATTGAATATACTTCTTCATAAAGGGTATGCTTAGGATCTCCGTCTTTTTATTGGACCCTCGGCCCAATGTTCGGGTCACACCCGCATGCAGCATTGCGTCGTACTTTTCATAAACATCTGTTGGGCGTTGTGTCCCAGCCTGAGTGTTTGCGGAGACCCCAAGGGATTGGGAGTTTTGCTCTCGAACAGGCGCACCCTCCTCAGTACCGGCCTGGCGATACCTGTGCATGCGCAATACGTGTTCAGAAATTTGCCTGTCCCTGGCGTCTTCGATGTCATCGGTAACAACAAAGAGTAAATCAAATCGAGACAGCAGGGAGTCTGGCAGCGCAATATTCCTGTGGGGGTCCTTATGAGGATCGTATTGGCCGAAAATGGGATTGGCCGCTGCAATAACAGAGCAGCGGGCATTCAATGATGTGTGAATACCTGCCTTGGCGATGGTCACCGTTTGCTGTTCCATGACTTCGTGGATAGCCACTCGATCAACGTCTGACATTTTGTCGAACTCATCGATACATACAACTCCCCGATCAGCCATGACCATAGCGCCAGCCTCTAGCTTTCGTTCTCCAGTTTCCTTGTCTGTGGTCACCGCGGCTGTCAAACCGACACCGGAAGAACCGCGACCCGTTGTTGCAATGGCCAGTGGCGCCGTGTTGAGGACGAATCGTAGAAGCTGGGATTTGGCAGTAGAAGGATCGCCAACCATCAAGATATTAATATCTCCTCTAAGATGGGTACCATTCTCGAGGTTCTTTTCCACTCCTCCCAGAAGCATGAGTAAAATGGCCTTTTTGACATAGTCATGGCCGTAGATGCTAGGGGCAAGTGACTGTGAGAGAAGACCGAGAAGATCCTTCTTCTTGGCAACTTTGTTGATGTTGCGGATGTCCGTATCAGTAATCGAGGCAGTGGCTACCCCGCCACTAGACTTGGACGACAAAAGGACGACGTTATTGGCCAAAACGACTGTCTTGAAGAGCGCACTGTTGTGGTTGGCATTCCTGTTACCCAGTGTGCGAAAGATGCCAACAAGTTGGATTCTATCACCAGGCTTTACTTGATCAACCAAATCATCATCCAAGATGACGTCAACACCGCGGGGGAGTTGACCAGCGGGGGCTCGTTCGGGCATCTCTTGGATCGATATTGTCTGATGATCACGGTAGGTACAGAACCCATACTCTGTGGTAAGAGGGTTTCCATCGTCATCTTCTTGCGGGTAGACACTAGAAGTGGTGACTCCGTTGGTCATGGTCTGGTCTTGGTATTCTCGAAAATGAAATTTGTCCTTGATTTCGTTGTAGTGAACGCTCCGCACAACCTTGGGCCTGATCAGGGAGCATCTCGTTACAATGCCTTCCACAGATACCATGTGATTCAGGTGCTGTGAAGACAGCGTGCGGGGATTGCAGGCGTTGAGGCCAAAGTTTCCAGCCCACGCGCAATAATAAACGGTATCCCTCGCGGTTTGGTCAGGCCTGGCCTGAGGCAGCGTCTGCACAATTTCTTTGAGGGCATGGTTGAAGGCAAGAGTATAGTCAAAGGGTTTCTGAAGAATCTCTTGTGCGAATTCTGCATTGTGATCTCGGACGTGGTCTATGTTGACGGTAAGGCGACGCTGGTTCTTGCGAAGCATCAAAATAATATCTGATCTATAACTGCGAGCATGGGGATCGTCTTGAACAAAATGGTCAGCCAAGGGAGAAACTGGGTTGGGAATAGGGCTGATGCTCACTGGGAACCAAAAACTCCTCAGCCTGACGAATGCGGTCTCTCACACCATCATCCTGAAGCATAAACGAATCCATCGTGGGCGGTTGTCTCGAAACAGCAAGCGAACAAAAGAAATCGCCAAATGGATGCTTTTCCCAGAGCTGTGCCGCGCCGCGTCGAATCTCTAAATTGAAATGCCCCTGCACGCGAGGTGGGTAGGTACCTGCTAGCAAGTACCTGTTCGCGTTGCCCAGAAAATGCTAGAGGTACCTTCCCTCCTAGGTAGGTACATTGAGAGCATATTGGCACTGTGTTCTGCCACACCTTACTCGCAGCATCTGTTACACGCACATGGCTCATCTTCGTACTGGGTACTTGGCTGGAATGCACGGTACCCTGCGCTGTCTCGAGCATGGTGGGGGCGTACCAGCATCTTAGCAGGTATCGGGATAATGAGTGCGTGGCCAAGAGCTGCGACAGAAGGAGACCACCAGGGCCGTCTTACCATTGCTCTGGCAGAGAAGCGATGTATACACCGAGTATCAGCCTAGCGACTCTCTTTTCCCCTATTCCCTATGACGGAAGAGAAGCCAGACGACTCCGAGATAGAGATCTTCGCGAGGGCCTTGGGGTTTAATTACTGAGTCCCCGGTTCCGCCGACCCATGACATAGCGTTACAGCTACAGGCCACGAACAACGACCGAGTCTCGACGTTGCCGCATAAGTCTGATGAAAAGGCTTGGTCAACCTCGAGACCTATCCTCGATCATTTGGTCGTCGCCATGGCCGACCGCAATGCTCCGGGAGTGTCGTCACCGCACCGATCCTCATCCTCCGCAGCGCCCCTGGCTGGGACCACGGGCTCTGGATCCGTCCGCTCGCGCAATCGTGGCCCCCCCAATCATGGCAGCAGCGAGAATATAACGAGAAACCATGGTGATCCGGCACAGAGGACTCCCGCTGCCAAAGGTAGAGAGGGAACATCTAGTTTGGGGCAGGTGCTGGGAGATTCCTGGGCTCAGAGCTGGTCATCAGTCCAGGGATTTGCTTCCTCTCTCCTCTCCGTCGCAGAGAACCCAGGCGACATGTCTCGGCCACGATCAGACTATCAGTCCGACCAAAACTTTGCTTCTTCACTTTGGAATCGATTTCCACCAGGCATCAGCGGCAACGCCAGCAAGAACCCCAACCAGGGGAGCTCTCCCGCTCTACGAAGCCAAAGGGTAGCCAACCGAGTGGCAGCGGGATCGTCAGACCAGCGAGACGCTGCGCTGATAGCCGCCAAGAGAGCTAGCGTTTTGGAAAACAGTCAAGGTCCGAGTGGAGGGCTGGATGTCTCGGGGAAGTATAAACGTCGAACTTCGGACGAAATTACCTCAGAGAACTCACAACCTGAAGAGTACCTAGTATACATCCACAAAATCCTGCCTCATGACACATATGCTGGAATTATCCTCCGATACAAGTGCATGGAGGATGCGTTTAGGAAAGCGAATGGCCTCTGGTCCAGAGACAGTATTCAGGTTCGGAAATGGGTCCTTATTCCAGTCGATGCCTGCGAAGTACGAGGCCGTCCTTGTGATCCCCCGGCAGGCAATCAAGACCACGGCGCCACGGATTTCTTCGAAGCAACCGGGTCAATGGCACCACAAACTACATTCAGTGGCTACTCCAAACTATCTAGTGAAAGAGCTACACAGGAAGATGAGAACACGGAAAAAGAGGCAATGCCGTGGTCGCACGTCAGATGGGTCAAGATAGACTCACTGCCTGAGCCAGTGGAAATCGGGCGTATTGCGCGGCAGAAAATGGGCTACTTCCCACCACGGAGGAAAAAGGCCGTGTCTTTCTCGTCAACACCGCGACAGAGCCTTGATACTACGGAGCAGATAGAGCAGCCGCTATCCAGGCGACAGAGCTTAGTGGGCGACCAGCCACCATCGTTGAGCAGGCGTGAATCTATTCTCAGCCATGGAGACGGCGATGGGCCGGATATGAGACCAGCATGGATGCGACGTTCGGGCGGTGTCGGCTCCTTGAGCAGGAATATCCGCGCTCCCGGCCCGGACAAAGATTACTTTAACTCGTGGGCCAAGAAACATTTTCCTAGCCTCAACATTGACGACCTACCATCCATGTCGGTGATGGGTTCAGAGATGGCACGGTTCGGGTTTGACCGTGAGGCTGCTGGGATTGTTGAGGGCGCCATTCAAGAGGGGGGAGATACGGAGTCACCTTATAATCAGAATAACGGCTTAGACAAAGCTGCGGCCGCAGTTGAGACCTGGCTCCGAACTGCATGGGCTAAACGTTCCATGGCCCCATTAATTCCACGGCAGAGGAGCGCAGCCGGACAGGATACTGGAGACCTGATAGAGCTGACGCCGACGCCAGGTGCCGAGGGCACACCACGCCTTGACATGTTTGATTCACAAATACCATCGCCATTCCTTGGAAGTATAGCGGATGCCGATTCTAGCATAAAGCGATCAGGATAGAATTTGATACACAACGTTATTGGTTATTGGTTTATGCCCGGTTATGGATTACTCTGCATATATGCACATTTAACAAAGCTAGAGTTACTTATCATCAAAAGGAAACATGTGTTGTTTATGGTTTCAGGAGTTATTCTTAGAACCCCAAACTTGTTCAGATTCTTAACCATCTATAAACGTGCCTACTTGAGCCGTACAAATTGCGCCTTACTCGTCCAAGTACATCTTTATAAGTCCTCACTGGGGCATTTGGCCATGGTTTTTGTGGTTGGACGGGTGAGAAGTACTTGAAAATATACACACTGTGCGCTACAAGAGGAGCAGCACCAGTATATCGCCTAAAATATCCGCTGATCCGAGCTTGCACAGTGCGTGTCAATTGACAGCTCTACTGCAAGCTCGACAATCAGGTCCCATAAACATCAAAGTAGACTTACAGCATTCAACATCTCTAGATCAACGCCGATCAACCGCGCGTTGATCGATCGGGAACCTCATTTTTTGGAAGAAAATTTCAGAATCCAACAGTCCATAACTGATATTGGGTGAAGCCACTTTTATAGCCTAAAGCAAGAATAATGCGCGATCGGCCAGCGGCGGCGAATAAAGTGACAAAGAAGACGCGAAATGGACCTCGCGGCGCAAACGCGAAAGCGAGGTCCGCAAAGCGAGCTCGAAAATTCAACGACGAATTGAATGATAACAGCACATCCCCAGACCCTAGCATCGCATCCGAAGTAGATGATGAAGCCAGAACCTTGGATCAGTCCAAGTCATCCAAGCAGACACGAGGCCGACCAAAGGCATCCAAGGATCGAGATGGTATATACAGTTCCAAGGGCCGCTCAAACAAAGATGAAGATGCCGATGGCATGAGTGGCTTGGAGGATCAAGATTCAAACGGAGACGATATCCGACGACAGCTTTCCGAATTAAAGAAGCAATATTCGAAACTGGAAGCAAGTTATCAAGAGCTTCAGGAGCTAGGCGTGAAGAAGGCCGAACAAAACTTCGAGCTGCTCAAGGCGCAAGCCGAGGAAAACACGAGAGGTAAGATAATGCCAGAACGACATGGGCAAATATCAAATCATTGCAAGCTAATATATGCGACAGTTGCCAATGAGTTGATCGCGCAACTCAAGGAAGAGGTAGCCGAGCAATCGAAATCTATCCAGCGAGCAGAGAAGGTGCAGGCACAGCTAGGCCAGAGCGAGACCGAGGCAGACACTTTGCGCGCCCAGCTGGCGGAGGCGAACCAGTCACTATCCCAGGCCAAATCCGAGACGAAGACGCTATACACAAAACTGGCAGCGAGCAGGCAAATCGAACCAAACAATAAAGGATCTGCGCCTGGGAACCGGGCGGCGCTTTCGGAAAAGGAAAACAAACAAGTTACTCAAGTCAAAGAAGATTTGTTCGCTGATCTGACAGGCCTTATCGTCAGAGATGTGCGACGCATCGACAAGGAAGACGTCTTTGACTGCTTACAGACTGGGCGCAACGGAAGTAAGGCGTTACCATTTGTTTACAACCAAAGGATGCATGGCTAACGATTTGGATAATAGCTCTCCACTTCAAGCTTGCGCTAGAGGATATGGACTCAGCCGACAGTTACGAAGATGTGCAATTCACGTACCGTCCGCAACTAGACGCCAGTCGCGATGGCGATTTGATAGAAGCTCTCCCCGACTACCTTATTGAAGAGATTACGTTCCCTCGAAATCAGGCGCCCAAATTCTATGCCAGAGTAATAAAGTCACTAATGGAGCGTTTGGATTAGGGTCGCATAATGCAAATAGAGCTAAAATAAGCTTGTGCCGAGCATGTATATATATTCGTATTAGTTGGAAATTGACTACGAAGTGCTCCGTATGGAGTCCAGCATTTGGATATGTCCTGCCTGAGACGGAAGCATGTGAGAGCCCACGTATAAGTTCTTTAGTAATTTGTCATGGCGGATTGGTAGACTACTGGCATAGCTCGCGGGGAAGTGGAATCGCATTTGGAAAACAAAAATTGATCAGGGAAAATGAAAACAAAGAATTATAATCATAGGTATTTTAAAACTTGATGTCTATTCCATTCTATAAGTATCCTCTCAAGGGGTTTATTTCTCATTACGTTTATAGTGGTGCCATCTACACACTGCTGCGTGCCTTGCCGGAATCTGTTTATGCGCACCACCGAGCAGCAGTTGTACCTGCAAGTAGATTGCCTTGGCTAAGCCGTGGAGGTGGACGGACTAGTACAAAGGTAGCGCAGGGCGATGTGCTTCTGAAATCGGCCGAGGCAGCGCGCTTCACGTTTTACCAAGATCGAGGTGTGCTGGATGCCGCTGATCAGCTTCCCAATTCCAACATTTGGATGAAGCCATCTCGAATTTGCCGACATACACATTCTGCCTGCCTGCGAGAGTTGAAAAGAACCTAAGACCGACTGTACCATCCGCAGGCACCGAACGTAACGAGTAACGAATCGGGGTGTGGCCTCGCCGAGCTGCTAACGGAGTTGAACCAAGGTTGTAACATGCCTGCGTTCGCTCTGCCGGTTTGACCCTATTGTCCGATCATAGAGCAAGCCGCAGCCCCTTTGCCGATTCTCATCTGCAAAAACACTTCTTCCCCCCTTGGTGGTGTATGCGCTTGAGCTTGAATGCATTGGCCCGGCGCCCATTTGCGTAGCTAAGCTTGATCTCGACCCTCGTGCCGGGAGGAGGTTGTTCGCCTCCTCCTACAATCACCCCTCCCTGTCCATCAGGCAATCCCTCGATCTCTCGAATCCTGCCATTTCAGCGACATCACCCGCATCATGGACGTCGAAGTACCTTCTGGCGACAGCACGTCGCAAGCGAGCCCGCAGCAATCGCAGCCGCAATCCAAGTCGTCTCCGCTGCCCTCGGCTGCCGCGAGTGCCGCCGCCGCCGCCGCCGCCGCCGCAGCCAACTCGATGAGCTTTAGAAGGTATGATGGCCGTTATTTGGTGATGAGGGCAGGTTTTCTAACTAGTATGGTGTTTCTAGACAACGAGCGTCACGAGCATGCGAGGTATGTATTGTCTTGCAGGTCGCATAATCCTCACTTCTCCATGAGCCGAGGCATCCCAGCGGGGCCGCTGACCACTTGGCTATTGGCATTCTACATGGACTCCTGCTAACCACTCGATAGACGTGTCACGCTCGAAAAGTATGTTCGACAAGGCTTGCGCTATTCTCCATGGGTGCTCTTGCATGCTAACCCGATGGCCTCCAGGTTCGATGTGACGCAGCTAGTCTGGGGGTGCCATGTACCAACTGCGTTGCCTTTCAGATAGAATGCCGCATCCCAACGCCGAAGCGCAAGAAGACCCAGGCCTCTGGGGCGCAAGCGGGCAAGGATTCCGATAGGTATGTCACCGTGTCAAGCTTCGCTGCTCTCTATTCGCACTCCCCTCATACTGACGACGATGTGTCTCTCTTCTCTAGCGACCGCGGCGAGAACACTGATGAGCCGTCACGGCAGACCCCTCTCAGCTCCGCCGCTGCCTCCTACTCTCCAAGATCTTCGGCCCCTACCGTATCACACACTGCTGATGGGACCCCTCCGACGTCTCTTACAGAAGCTCAGGCTAGGAAAGAGGAGGTTGATAATGGGACATATCTGAACCTAGTGATGAAGCCAAAGTTCACACGAGCCCCCATTACTGATGCCGGCCGGGTTGCATACCTCGGCGAGTCATCGAATCTTACTCTTCTCGTCCACGATCGCCAAGGTTCTGCGGATGTCGTTCACTACCCGCTGCCCGAGAATGTGAGGGGGTCGCGAGCGAGGTTGACTGAACTCGATAATGTTGAGATCGACATCCTTCACCAACGAGGTGCCTTTCTACTGCCTCCAAGGTCGCTATGTGACGAGCTGATTGACGCCTACTTCCAATGGGTCCATCCCATTGTCCCCGTCATCAACCGCACTCGCTTCATGCGACAATACCGTGATCCTAAGAATCCGCCGTCGCTCCTCCTCCTCCAGGCCGTTCTTCTGGCCGGTTCTAGAGTCTGCCAAAATGCCCAGCTCATGGACGCAAATGGTTCAACTACCCCGGCAGCCCTGACTTTCTATAAACGGGCTAAAGCTCTATACGATGCCAACTACGAAGACGACCGCGTCACAATCGTACAGTCCCTCCTTCTGATGGGATGGTACTGGGAGGGGCCTGAAGATGTCACCAAAAACGTCTTCTACTGGAGCCGTGTCGCGACCATTGTTGCTCAGGGCTCGGGCATGCATCGATCTGTTGAACGGTCGCAACTGAGCAAGTCTGATAAGCGGCTGTGGAAGCGCATCTGGTGGACGCTGTTTACGCGCGACCGATCTGTCGCGGTTGCTCTTGGTCGCCCAGTCCACATCAATCTTGATGACTCGGACGTTGAAATGCTGACCGAGGATGACTTCATTGAAGATGAGTCTGACCGAGCGAGCGAGTACCCGCCAGACCCCATTCATGTGCAATTCTTCCTCCAGTACGTCAAGCTCTGTGAAATCATGGGGCTTGTCCTGTCACAGCAGTATTCGGTCGCCTCCAAGGGAAGGCAGCGGAATGCCATCGACCTTACACACAGCGATATGGCTTTGGCCGATTGGCTTCAGAACTGCCCCAAGATTGTCTACTGGGAGATGCCTCGCCATCATTTCTGGTCCGCACTCCTTCATTCCAACTACTATACGACTCTGTGTCTCTTGCATCGAGCCCATATGCCGCCAAGCGGCTCGCCTCGGTTCCCCAATGATACTCCATATCCATCTAGAAACATTGCCTTCCAAGCGGCGGCCATGATTACCTCCATAGTTGAGAACCTGGCGGCGCATAACCAGCTTCGTTATTGCCCAGCCTTCATAGTGTACAGTCTTTTCTCCGCCCTCATCATGCACGTCTATCAAATGCGCTCCCCTGTGCCGTCTATACAGCAGGTGACGCAGGACAGGCTGCGCAGATGCATGCAGGCAATGAAGGAGGTCTCTCGCGTCTGGCTTGTGGGCAAAATGGTCTATACTCTGTTTGAGTCCATCCTCGGCAACAAGGTGCTTGAAGAGCGGCTACAAAAAGCGGGAGGAAAGCGACATCGGAAGATGCAGCAAACCGTTGACCAGCTCGAGCAGCTCAACAGGCAAGACGCATCCAAGCGTAAATACGACGACATGGCTATCGACTTTACGAGCAATACTCCAACCCCGCAAGAGTCGTACGAAAGATCTAGGCCGCAGACTCCCAGTGCGACCAAGAATGACAACAATGTCAACCAGCGCTCGGCAGCAGCATCTCCAACTGTTCGCCAGACTGGCACGGATACGTTCATGGGTGGCACCAACTCGCGACCTCAGACGAGACCTGCAACACCATTCAACCCTTCATTTTCCGTCCCGGCAACTCCCCCAGACTTGTACTTGGTCACCCGCAACTCGCCAAACATCTCACAATCTCTATGGGAGAATTTCCAGCCTGATCAGCTTTTCCCTGAAAGCTCAAGCATGCCGGCTTTCCCCAGTCTCTCGCCTCCGCAGACACACCAGACTCTAGATCAGAATGCGATGAATCAACTGCCTGGAGGCAGTATAGCGGCGGGTATACAGGCCAACCAGTACAGAGGTTCCGGCCAAGGGGCTGGAATCGTACCGATGTCTGGTTTCCAAGGGCAGTCTAATTTGTGGCAGCCTGGCTTCGACGGCGGACTGCAGGACGGCCAAAGCCCTGATAGCTGGGGTACAAGCTCTGCACAGGGACAGCCTGCGCCGACAACCCTTAATGTAGAAGATTGGTAAGTTTGTGTATGACGGGAGAGTGTTTGCTTGTATTTGCAGCTAACGATTTGATAGGTTTCAATTTTTTGGCATCAACGGAGATATGAGCAGCATAAATCTGGACATCCCTTTGAGCTAGAGAATCATTCGAACACGGTGGCGCCCTCTGAAGCTGTGAAAGCTATTTACAGTCTTCAGATATGATGGTAGGCAAACTGGACGGCGTGCTTCTATATAAGGGTTAGTTGATCTACAAGAGACTACGTGGTTTACTGAAGGAGATTTTGAGAATTTCTTGATGGAAAACCCAAGACTTGGCTCTCTACATGTTTGCTCCTCATGTATTCATCATCTGTAATAACAAAAATACTTGGCGTGGTAAGCTTTCCACATTATGAGACACCCAAGAAGCATCGGTGAAGTTCTCGTAGACACATATATTAACCGTAATTTATATTGTATATCCTTAAAGTTCCATCAGGGCGCTATATCACTGTTTGATCAATACCAGAGGTGCGAGGAGGACTATCTTGAGATGGTGATTGGAGTTCCGCGACGTATACGCTAGCCGACATAAAACATTACTCCGGCAACTGAGAGCAAGGGAAAGAGAAAAAGCAGTAGGAAATCAATAAAAGGATAAAAGGGCTGTTACTCCAGGTCGTGAAGTAGCCTCGGGGTCTAATCCTGGGGCTCAATAAACGTTTCGTCAATATCTCCGTACGCATCATTCGCTGGTACATGGTTAGATCCTTTTTGACGTTGCTGGAGCACATCTATCAAATATTGATCACCTGGATGCTTGACAAAGTCATCAGTCCTGATTCCACGGAATTGGGCTGGATCAACTGGTCTCTTGGAGGGGCCATCGCGGCCGTGTTGTCGCATATATTCACGCACGGGCGCCATGGCAGCATCGCGGCAGGCCTCTTTGATGTCGCTCCCCGACATACCAGCGGTGATTTTAGACACGTGATCCAAGTCAAAGTTGTCGGTGTCCAATTTGGCGTCCTTGAGAATCAGCTGGAGGATTCGACGCCTTTGTTCCAGATTCGGTAGCGTGATGGGAAACTTCTTGGGCATTCGTCGGAGAATGGCTTCGTCAATATCGTGCATACGATTTGTGGCACCAAGTACGACAATCTGTGCTGGAATACCGGAAGAATTGCTCGATGTCAATCCATCCCACAAAGTCATGAACCTTCAATGTTGTCAGTACCCATTGCATCAATGTAGCGGTGTCGCTACTAGGTAGCTGAAAGAATACTTACTCGGCTTTGACCATACCGCTAGCCTCATGTTCGCCGCTCCTTCGCGTGCCCAGAACGGCATCTATTTCATCGATGAACACAATGGCGGGTTGCATCTTGCGAGCCAAGGAGAAGACGGCTCGAACGATCTTGTTGGAGTCGCCATACCACTTCTCGGTGAGTGTTGAAATATGGAGGTTAATGAAGGACGCGCCGCTCTCCTTGGCCAAAGCCTTCGCCAACATCGTCTTGCCGCAGCCAGGTGGGCCATAAAGCAGAACTCCAGATGGTGCGGATAATAGCGAAGCGGCGTGCTGATAGAGATGTGGCATCGTCAATGGATATATGACGGATTCTTTCAGTTCTTCGATAATCATATCCAGGCCGCCAATGTCTACCCAGGTTTCACCTCGAATTAATGATAAATCCATTGAGAAGATTTGGAGGCCAACACTCACCATCAAAGCCGACGTGTATATCATCAGGCGCGACCATTTCCAACGCTATTAGGTTCTCATACTCATTCAAAACCAGCTCTTCGACTCGCGAGCCTCCTCGCGCCCCGTCCGCCCCATGATCGCCAATGCCATCGATATGTCGTCTCCGACTTAGGCGGTCGAGATGGGCTTTCGCTTGACGCTTCGCCTGTTCGTGCTTCTCTTTATCGGGGTCTACCAGGTTGCTCAGGATTGGATTCAAAAACGTGCGAGCAACGTAGAGACCAGCGGTCATCTAGAATAATCTGTCAGTACAATGGCAGATAAAGACGCAAGGTCAGTTACCATGCCAGCAAACAGGACAATGTCCAGAGCGACATCTCCTAACTTTCGACGCTCGCCCATTCCGAGGATCCAGCGCAGCCACGAGGCTGTGCGGTTGGGCATTGGGAGAGGCTGATGAATTCGGGAGTTTTAACGGCGGCAAGAACCGCGTGCCGAGGAGTGTTTGAAAGGGTATGATGTAATGATTTAGCATATGATTTAGGCTAAAGTAGACTAGCGCTGAATTTTAAAGATACTTATTAAGAAAAAAAATCCCTTTAAGAATAATTACTAATTAAATACATAATAGATATATTATATACTTTGAGTTATAGTCTTTAATTATTTATTATTTAATACAATTATTATTGGTTTTTTCTATTAAAAGTAAGTGAAATAATTAAATTTTGTTATATATATTGATATCTTACAATTATCTATATAATGTATATTAACTATAAGGCATAAAGCGATAGTAGTTGGAGTAACGCTTATTATATAAACATCTATGCCACATTATTCAGTGTGAATTATTGCTTTTCCTCCAACTCATCCACATCCCCTTCCAAAAAAGTACCGAAATTCATTAATGACCATGGCTCCGAAGAAGAGTGTAAAATGACGAGCCATGCAGCGACTACATTAACCAAGTAATGGAGCATGTATGCATGTGAAACGCCGTAAATTGCAGCACAAAGCGCCGTGCCAAAAAGAAGCCCGCTGGTAATATGGCGAAATCCATATGTTACTTGAGGAACCATCTTGCCGGTTGTCAAATTCTCCACCAGTAATATAAATGGCATTATAGACAACACATTGTGATGAGAAGAAAAAGGTGTGAGCCAGTGAACGGCGAGGTTTCGAACCCAGACCGCCAGTATAGGCAAATTGATGGGGAGAACCCACATCATTAGCAGAAGAATAGAATGCGAATAGTGATAGTAGTTGGAGTTGGCCGTTGAAGGTGTGACAACGTATATGCGAAGAGCGCGAACAACGGTGAGAATCTGTACAAGGCAAGCGACTAAGTACGCGAATTGGTACGGAATGAAAGTGGACACCAGAAATAATAGAATGATCGTCGAGATCACTCTTCGCCGAGGAGTAGATGGTGCAAACACTGGCGATGGGCTCAGAAGATTATAGCCGTTGATCGCAGGTATTGCCGTGAATACGGCATATGCAACACCAAGAATTCTTGTCAGAGCAAGAAGAATGTAATGCAAAACAGTACAGACGCCGATACATACAATGCCAATAAAAGGCACAAGATAGATGAAGAAAGGGTCGTCGGTACCAATGAGAAGGTCGTTTTTATGAAAGCTGATGTTCGAAGAAAGGTTGGGATTTGCCTGGTTGTTGTCCACAAGTGCGGCAAGAAAAGTCGTCACTCCACTAGGGGAAATGGACAAGAGAGTTAGACAAGACAGTAGAAGCGGAATTGACTGTCGCATGGACAGGTCTAAGCTTTCGGAGAAGGAAATAAAGGTGCCCTTCGTGTCATAAACATTGAACTGCTTCCGAAGTACCAACGTAACGATGAGTAGAGGAAAGGCCGCAAAAACTGTACGGTATCGCATATACAGTTTCCCAAGACTTCCTAATACATCCACATAAATGTCGACTTCCAAGGGCCCTTCACACGTCGGATCAGACCATATCCCAAAAGCTAGGCCGTCGGCACCAGGCGGCGTTAATGAGGGCGGCATGTATGGGGCGACACCGTGGAAGCTGATCCCGGTCGCTCCAGCATTGACAAAATATTTCGATTCGTAGGGCCTTTGAATATATTGGCGGATTAGTGGCGCAAAAAGTTGTTGGTTTCTAACGCATTGCTGATTTTTTATCACCATATCAAAGGCTATCAGGCTTGATTTGAGGGCCGGAATATTGATATCCATAGCGATAGGGCGACCAGCGGGCAGCCGGAATGATAGACCAAATGTCAGAAGACGAGTGAGGCTGATGTCTTCCTTCTTTTGAAAGGAAGAGTGATCGCTAAATTCTGCAACAGCAAAGCCTTGGCTGATTTGTGTTGCTCTATCGATGACGGCAACAAACTGATGATCGGAGAGATGCTCAGCGTCATATTGTAGATATGAAAAAGGATATATCTGGGATTCTCCGTCCAGGTAGAAAGGGGCTTGAATATTTGTTGTCGAAGCTGGGAGGAGGACCGTGTCAGACGCGGCATCCTTACATGCTAACTTCGTCGGTGTAGTACCGTTCCTCGATAGATCTATCGTGGAGGAAAAGAACGAATTGACACTCGTGTGTTGAACGGGGGAAACGCTGCACAAGAGGACTTGCAGCCGGTTGCCATCGATAGGCGCGCCAAGTTGAGCATCAGTCAACAGAGTAAAGCGTTTTGGCTCAGGAGATCCATGAGGCGGCACGGGAAGGAGATAGGCCTTCGGGGTACCCTCAGAACCAAGCTGTGAGAGGATTAGCCGGCCCCCGGTTGGCACTACCGTACTAGACGAGTCGTCCAAAGTAAGGAGGATCGTCGGCTCATTTAGAGACAGAGTCTTCTCAGCAATCGTTTCCAAACCAGTCAAAAGTCGCTTCTTAAAGACTCTCATCCGTTGTGCTCGGGGTTTCGTTTGAGAGGCTCGGTGAACATCAATGATGCTATACAAAGTTTGGGCCAGCACCTTTCGAAACTGATCGCACCAGAGAATCGCCTGATGGTCCATGCTTGTCCATACCGTTGGTATTCCCGACGTAAAGACAGTGAATCCATGAGTTTCGGGCACAAGCGATTCAATACTGGCATAATCAGATGGCACGACAGTATCCAAGTTTCCACCAGCGATCGATACCAGAGTGACATGCCACAGCGGGTTGTTGCTGGCCCATTTTTGGGTATACGCACGCCGCCAATAATCATTGATTTCGTCATAGATTTGAACGATCCGGCCGTCGAATGTAACTGGAGGGCGTGCATGCGGTGCTGACATTGTAATGATGGTATTAATTGAATTCTCCTGGTAGTTTGGTTGGACCAACATTGCCCTTGCGACAACTCCTCCCATTGAATGTCCAAGAATTAGGACAGACGTCGGATCTGGTAGATGCGAATCTCGAGAGGCTCTCTGTGGCTCAGAGTAGAGCGAAAGAATGTATCGGACGGCTTCGTTGAGATATTCAGCTTGGTCAAGTAAGGTCTGGCCGTGGAATGCGGTGATGTCTTCATTAAAGTCGACGGTGAAGAAATCAAGAGTCCTTATGCCAGAATCTAGCTGGTTACTGTCATGCTGAAGGTAATCATGGAAGTAATTGGCAGTCTCTGCAGCAATTGGCCGGACTTGCTTGTAGCTTCCGGCATTACCTGGGATGAAGAGAACCGGAATTCCGCGCAACTTGTTGCCATGATGTGAGCTTCCTTATGCCTGCTTTTTCGAGAAGGGGGATATGAAACCAACCTGACCGCTATCAATCCCTTGCTCGCGATAGAGATATAGAGAGTATTTGCTTGCGAAACGGGTGTGTTCGGTATCGAATTCGGAGAAGTGAATGTAGGAAGGTCGCATATACGACATTCGACATCCTTTGGGCTCAATTTGGCGTGTCGTGAGCGACCGAAAGATAGCGAACAAGAGGCCAACACCAGCCGTGGCAACGAAAAAGGACAGAACCGACATGAACCACAGACTGCGATTGCGCGCCCCCGAGCTGGCTAGGGGCGGCTGTTTGGTCGTGGTCATACTGGGCGACGAAGTAGGGAGCGATAGTGGTGAAAAGGATGCGACTGCTGCATGGCTGGTAGGGTGCTGGTGGCCATTCGCCTGGTTCGAATAGACGCCGCTGAGTTGCCTTGAAGTCGATGGTTGCCGGGATATTAAGCCATTGAGGCGGTGTTCTGACTCGGCATCTGGGTTTTGCAGCTCGAGGGAGGATTTACCACCGACATCAACAGACGACGAGCGCCTCGTCATGGGAAAGGTCGAAGAGAGACCTTTGGTGAGGCCGAAGCTGTGAGTGGCTATGGGTTGCTACGGCCAGAATAAGGTGATAACACTTTGGGAAAAAGTAGTGAAATTAAAACAGAAAGTCACACGGCCGAATGCGACCCATTCCGCCGTCATCTGGTCCAATTAAAGCGAGCAGAGAGAGGCGCAGAGCACTAAGTGGATAAAATCGCGGGAAACCAGCTAGATAGAGTTGGGGGAGCATTTCGCGTCATTTTAGAAATCGACATGCACACTAATGTAAAGAGAGGCTGGGTAAGATCTAGGCTATTTATTCGGTTCTCTCTTTATTTCCGCATCTTTCTTCAAAGATAATGAGCATAATTCACCAAAAAGGCTGCCATTATGTATGATTGACTACTTAATGATAATATTAAAGTTGATACAATTTTCAATACAACTCTTATCTTAACAATTATTACAAAACAAACAAGCATGTTATGCTGATTACGTGAGGCAAATTAGACTATGATATCGGTATCCGCAAGCAGCAAGGTAGGTTGCTACTAAATACAGTTTAAGCTGCTAATCGCACCGATACAGGCGCAGAGTCCAGGCACAAAGTACCGACTATCTTAGTACTGGCACCTCACCCGAATATCGCCAATCCGATTAGACGCCCATGTAAACGCAAACCGGCATACGACACGGAGCAACACACCGCGAATCAAATATCCCATGTCGAAGCTACGCGACTTCTCGCCATACCAATGCCTATCTGTATAGAGTGCCGGTATCCTGTCAAAACTCTGTGGACGCAATATTCTGGAGCTGATGATAAGTCCAACGGGCACTTGATTCGCCTCACTGTCTGCCGAAAATGTGGCCATTTCTGTGATAAATATGTAGAGCACGACTTTGTTGTGCTCTTTATCGATCTGGTCCTCATTAAACCCCAGGTACTGTGACTCGGGCCGTTTTGCATGTCATATCTCATCTCTGAACCTCTCATAGGTCTATCGCCATTTGCTGCACAACACTTTGATGCGGGATGGAGATCGCTTCGACGTATGTTAACCACTCCAGCTCCCTCCTTCTCCTGCTAGATTTATCAGCATGCCCGCATGCTAATATTTTCAACAGCCTTCTATCATCCGTTTGGGGGTGTTGCTCCTGCTATTCGATGTCTACTTGACATGGGCGCGCATAGAAAAGCAAACCATTCCCTCGTCTAGTCCTGGCGAGAGTAGACTAGGGCCGCTCGCGCAACAGCCGATTGTGATTCAGTACATGTTCTTTCGTCAGTATTCTGTATCTTCGTCTTCATTACGCCGTCGACTAACACTGCTATTGTAGTGATCCTGTGCGCCTTGTCCACAATCGCTTTCCATCTGAGCATCCGATTTTTTACATCATCCCACCTCTCGCCGCTAAATATCACAGGCCTGATGCCGCGGTACAATCGCCCGAATTCAGTATCGACAGCCTTGCTTGTATCGTCCTCGACCAAATTATTTCCAATCTTGATGGTCATCTGGGAATATGATGTGCCCGCGGCCGCAAGGTCCCTAGGTTGGGCTGTCGTGGCAAATAACGTAGAAGCACTACGGATTCTACTTGACTGCAAATACTATGTTGCCTGCTTCTTAGCAATTGCCGGCGCATCTGTGCGCTGGGCTGTGGGCCAGCTGATATTAATATCTGCTGGATTGGGCGATGTAGATTCCATTGGTGACAGCAGCGTTGCTGCAGATGGCAAAGCTCTTTGGGCCCTGGTGAAGTATATCAGGGACTGGGCTGGCCGTTTAGCTGTAGGATAAAGTAATTCCTGACAACCAAATCAATGTATATTACCCGAACTAACATTGCATATACCATGTTACTATCTTATTGTAACCGCGTAGGCACAGGCCCGTACTATCAAATTTCGATATTTCCATAAGATAGACTGGTCTCAAGCAACTCCGGCACCTATTTGTACACTCGTAATCAATGATGGCTTGCAGGTGAGGAAGGTGACTCCCAGTGAGAAACTCGATAGCAATACAAGATGATGTGAACGAAGTAAAACCCCTAACGCCAGTCTTCCCGATACGCCTGAGGCTACGCTTGTCATAGCCAGCAATCAACTCTAGTTACTATGTCCCAGGAATTCCTCTCGCAAGTCGCTTCGTCGTGGTGCAATCAGTGGATGGAGTTGAGCGAGGAAAGTGATTAGCCACATGAGATAGCAGCTGACGATGGCCAGAATCAGAGATGACCGCCATAAACTATTAAACACAAGCTGTTAGCATAGTAGGATTCGCGAACGGGCGGAACAGACTGACACTTGATTCTCGCCTTTGGGTGACAAAAACCAGGCCGCCGCGCTCAACGCAACGATGACCACGAGGCCGATTACAATGGAATATCTGTAGACAAACAATGCGCACATTGTGTTAGCCCGGTTCTTTCTGCATCATCACCAGTAAGTCTTACCCTTGAGCCATTTTGCTGGATCGTGATCACAGGATAGATCCGAGGACGACTGCTTTGTTGATGGAGAACGAGTCCTGCAAGTACGAAGCTGCACCCCAGAACACTCCTAAGGATACCTCGAGCTTAGATCGCGCACTGTAATTCTAGACGCCGATCGAGGCGCGTCATCTGGTAGGTAAGCGAAAAACAGCGCTAATCCTGAAAGAGAGCTATTTATGAAAAAGCTACCAATTTTTAATAAACGAATGCTTAGATATAGATAGAGAAATAATAGTATAAAATTAATGTTAAATATTAACTCCTGGGAATATATAGCTTTATGTATAATTATAATATTGTTGCTATTTAAAATATGTTTTTCAAGGGAAAAGTAATATGTATTATATATCTAAAGTTTTGCTTATTATTGCAATTTTATTTACATTTCCATTTAAAGGGGCTCATTATAACCGTTTAATTACATGGATTGGGACTGTGTAATAATATGCCGCTACTCCGTTCAGTTCCGGGTGTTGAGTGGCTATTGTGGGTCTTCTCTGGGACCAGCTGGATTTACACTCAAACTTCTCCCCGCGGTTCAGTAGAATAGCGAAACCAAGGTTCAATTGCGCACTGCCTCACATTGGCTCACAATTGACATTCGCCAAAATGCGGCCGACGTTTCGAGCTCTCGCCAGCTATCTCGAGCCCGGTACGCCTACCGGACTCACAGGACTATGGACTCACAAAACACCCCGGTCTACTCTGTTATACCTGTACGGCGCAACACTGAACAGGCTGCAATCCATACCCGAAACATCTCTCTACCGCCAATCCGTCGAGGCGACGACCAAGCATCGCATGGGTCTTGTCGAAAAGATCGTTCCGCCTGGATATGAGGAGTGGAGTGTGAAGGCGAAGGAGCTGATGCGAAAATACCCCCACCAATTCGAGGCTGCCAGTGATCGGATCGATGGTAGTGGTGCTAGGACTTATAAGTTTGGCAATCGTGTCTTTGTTGTTGGCATCGAGCATGATACCGGAGACGTTCGGTCGCAGGAATGGAATGGCGAGAGTCAAGTGGGCAGCAACGATCCGATCATTGACGCTGCGGAGCATCAAAACATCAACGATGAAAAGCTGCAGTGGGAGGATGAGCCCCAGCTTACAGCTGAACAGTGAGCCTAAGGCCATGATACAAATATTCACCAGACAACTAACAAGTGAGACAGGGTCAAGGAACTTGAGCAACAACTGGGTGCTGGTCTCATTGAAGAGGTCATCCAGGTGGCGGAGGGCGAACTACAACTAATTGAGACTATGGAACAGGCACAAGTGTAAGTATTTCGAAGGCAATACCTCTCTTTTGACATGCAAAGTTCTTGTCATTGCTGACACTGGCCACAGCTGGGAAAATCTGGATGAAAAGCCTGCTCAAGGGCAATGGACATATTTTGAGCGACAATCGTCATGAAATACGGAGCTATATCATTTATAGTTTTCTGATAAATAATTCAAAATTCTAGTACAATACACTGTATCACCATTGCTGATTACCTTGTTAAATATAACCCCAAGTCCGAATTATTATTATTTGAATATCAAATGAACCTATACTCAACTGTTATGATAGATCTAAACCACTGGCATTTTATTAATAATATTATTTAAACTCAATAATTCAGTCAATTAATTATATCAAATATAGTTGGTATTATTAGCTTTATACTGACAGCTTATTATTGTGGGTACAAACGTGATGCCACTGGCCAAAAGCGCTAGGACGTATTTATCCTGTGCCGTCATTCACTCTGCTTCTCTGTTCCAACATATCTTTGGTGCTCTCACACCTACATCTGTGGAATTTATGGCCACGATCAAACAAATTGATGGCCGCAGCGTAAGCTCTTCAAGTTCTATATGCAAATTTCCGGCTAATATTTGGCTATTAGGTCCATCAAATCCAATCCGGCCAGGTCATTGTTGACCTATGTTCCGTAGTTAAAGAGCTGGTCGAGAACAGCGTCGACTCTGGGGCAACAATCATAGGTTGGTGTGCCAATTGGTTGTAATGATGCTTGGCCCTGTCTCTCGACTGACTTGTAATAAAGACGTTCGTTTCAAAAACCAAGGACTCGATTCAATTGAAGTTCAAGACAATGGATCCGGAATCTCGCCGGCAAACTATAGCTCTGTCGCTCTCAAGCACTACACATCAAAGCTTACTTCCTATTCTGACATAGAGTCACTACAGACTTTTGGCTTTCGTGGAGAGGCTTTGGCATCGTTATGTGCCTTGTCAATTCTGACCGTGACGACGTGCCAAGAGGAAGAAGCTCCTAAAGGTTCCAAGTTAACTTTTCACCAATCAGGAGAGCTGGATAGCACAACCGTCGTTGCAGCCCAGCGAGGGACAACTGTCGCAGTCGAAAACTTATTCCACAATTTGCCTGTCCGACGCCGGGAACTTGACCGTAATATCAAGAGGGAGTGGCACAAGGTCATAGCTCTACTTAACCAGTATGCGTGTATCCTGACGAACGTGAAATTCTCCGTATCTCAACAACCTACAAAAGGGAAACGCATATTACTCTTTTCCACGAAAGGCAACGCGACTACCCGTGAGAACATTATCAATATCTTTGGTGCCAAAACTCTAGCAGCGTTGATACCTCTCGATCTTCACCTGGAACTCAAGCCCTCGGGTACCCGCTCTAGCGACAAATCAGCTTCTAATAGTCATGATGTTCGCATTGTTGGCCATGTCTCAAAACCTGCTCATGGTGAGGGTAGACAGACCCCTGATCGACAAATGTTTTTTGTCAATGGTCGACCCTGCTCACTGCCTCAATTGGCCAAAGCTTTCAACGAAGTTTATCGATCATATAACAACTCACAGTCGCCCTTCATTTTCGCCGATGTACAACTAGATACTATGCTATACGACGTGAACGTCAGCCCTGATAAGCGGTCCATTCTACTGCACGATCAAAACAACCTCCTGGATACTCTTCGTACCTCCTTGTCTGAGTTGTTTGATACCCACGAAGATAGTATATCAATTGCGGCATCAACTCAGAATGTGAAACTGCAGGCTTCTCATGGCAAAGGTACTAAGCCTGGACAACTCCCTCGACTTTTCGACAGGCCACCGTCTACATCTCATTCTACCCCCCAGGTAGAACAAAGCCTCAGTTACGAGGATAACAAACTCAGCTCCGGCGCAGACAGCGAAGGGTCAGAGCCGGATGATGGATTTGCCCCGGCATCGCGATTGATGAAGACGAGGTCGCAACGTAATGAGAAGGAGAAATTGCACCTGAACGGCAATATCGAACCAGTGATAAGGAGAGTCATAACATCTTCTCCAGAGAAAACCGCCCCAGCAACCCCTCGTTTAAAGACCATATTGGTGAACCACTCCCCTCCACGTAAGGAGTCGTCAGCAATTTCGAGTGCCAACGCAGCCTTAAGCCAACATCAGGGATCGCATGATCCTGATTACAACGTCCGAGCACAAGTTTCCGGCTCTTCCAGTCCTATTACCCCCGATATATCTGTAGAGGATGCTGGCGTTAAAGACCTACGCGAGGTAGTAACTCCTTCGCGAGACGTAAAAAGCCCAACCAAAGCTGCAAATGTGGAGGATGAGTCCAAATCTTCCGAGACAGGAATGTCACATCCCATGTCACCAAAACAAGACGAAGCAAAGGCAATTCTTCGTCCAGAAATTCATGAATCAGATAGCGAACCTGACATTCAACGACCTACACGGATACAAAGGAATACCATAGCCATCAACGATGATACTTCTTCTAGGCAATCTCAACATGATGAACAATCTCTAGAAACGGGGCCCGATATTCAGCATGTCAAACCCACGCTTTCACCAACAGGCGGTGGTTCCCCGATCAGAAGCGACAATACAAGAAGTCTTCTAGCAGAGTCCAGAATACAGCCCCCCAAACCCGTGCGGCGAAAAGATATTACGGCGTGTTGCATACAAAACTTACATGTAGAGAAGAGAAAGCTCCGACTACTCCATAATAGGCGTCCTCTTCGTCATACTTCTCAATCTGGTTCTTCGGCGCACAATACCTCTTCTGTGGAGCGAATCGATGCCAGCGATGCAGAATCTAGACTCCCTCTTATTATTTCAAAGGGTGATTTCTCCAAAATGAGGATTATCGGCCAGTTCAATCTCGGGTTTATCATAGCCGTTAAGCCTGCCAGTCATCTAGGCTCTGGAAGCGAGGGAAAGCATGATGAACTTTTCATCATCGACCAGCACGCGTCTGATGAGAAGTACAACTACGAAAGGCTTCAAAATACCACTGAGATCCAATCACAGCGCCTTGTCCATCCCATGAGACTTCAGCTGACAGCTCTTGAAGAGGAGATAATACTGGAGAATTCAACCGCTCTGAATGCGAATGGTTTCAAAGTAGACATTGATACAACAGGGCGTTTCCCTGTGGGATCGCGATGCCTGTTGACTTCGTTACCCCTCAGCCGCGAAGTCACATTCAAACTAGATGATTTGGAAGAATTGATATCGCTTTTAGGCGATAAATCGGCCGAGTCTTCGTATATCCCTCGCCCTTCGAAGGTTCAAAAGATGTTCGCGATGAGGGCATGTCGAAGCAGCATTATGATTGGTAAAGCCTTGACGAGGAGCCAGATGTATTCTCTTGTTAACCACATGGGAGAGCTGGATAAGCCCTGGAATTGCCCTCATGGACGCCCAACAATACGACACTTGAGTCGACTGCAGGCATGGAGCGGGGTAGGATGGGAGCGCGACTTGCAAACTGATTCAATTACAACCTGGCAAGACTATGTGAGAGAAGCAAGCTGATGACTGTTTTCACAAAAAATCATTGGATAGATCCATCTCGCCATATACTCTCACAAACATATATATATTCCTAAATATAACATAAGCGCCTCTTCATATATTCATTGTCCAATATCTTGGGAATAGCTGATAATGATTGCTTGTCATAATAATACAAACGGCTCCCTCATGATGATGCCTATTGATTTCATTTTCGTGTGAAGTCTTCGTCTCGGGTGGATGAAGTGCTCCATGATTACGTTTTGCGCATAGCGCGTTGTTTTCAGTGTATTAAAGTTATCCGAATAGCAATCTTCCTGGGTAGATTTTGCTACTATTTGCTTCCAGTGCATTTTATCGACTCTCTCTGGATTAAAATCGCGATCTGACTTCACCTCACTTCAATTGCTGTTAAATTTTGCTGACAAAATTGATGTGGGGCAGAATTCATCCAGCGACACTTCAGTGCTTCAACCCAGATTGAAACTCATGCCATACCACTCTAATTTTGACGACATTGAAGAAAACCACCAGGCGGGATGGCTAGCATCGACGATGTGAACTTTGAGCTCCCCAAACTGCGTACTTCCTTCTCCCTAGAGGTGAGTATCAACCACCCATACGCGTCGCTCATCGCTAACACAGCTGCAGAATGACACCAGGTTCCTCGGCAGTGATGATAATATCGCAGGCAAGCATCCAATTCCGCTACCAGAGCTATATTTTACCCGTGATTGATGAAAGACTAACCGCTAAGACAATGGATAGAATTCTTTGACGTCAAATTCTGCCCTTACCAGCCCCTAGACCATGAACCTGTCTTTGCTGCTATCAGCAAAAAGCATGTAAGTGCTACGGAAAGCTTGTCAAACAACCGCGTCACTCATCACCAGGCAATATAACAGTATTCGTTTCCTAACGCAATGCTTTAGGTTGTTATATGCCGACTCACAAAAGACACAGGCGATGTCAATCCTTGTCATGTAATCAATGTCATAAGAGACGATGACGTGAGTAACGCGTCCTCTATGTCAAAGTGAATATAACTAAACTAGCCACAGGATGAGGCTGCCAGTTGTTGTTGTACTTGGACTATGGATGCCGTAAATGGCAGGCCGTATATCTGCATTGGCGGCGTTGATGCCAAGGTTAAGATATACGACGTAGTTGATGGCCGGTTGGTTGAGGTAGGCACCACAAATGTTAGGACGCGATATATCGGACTTGGACTAAAAGGTTTCATTTTATAGTGCTTTGTTGGCCATGGCGGGGTTCGTCTTCTCTCGCTTCTTCACCTTGGGCCTCATGAACTCACCCGAAGCACAGGACGTTAATGATTTAGCCACATCCCCTGTCAACCCATATATCATCGCTTCAGCTTCAGACGATACAAGTGTACGGATATGGAGCGTGGAAGAAAAACATAGGAGCCAACCATGTTTATGCATTCTCGCCGGAGAAGGTCACTCTTGGAATCTGCTTAGTGTGGTAAGATGCTTCACCATAGCACTTTCTCAAGGCTTCCTGGAAACTGATACCTCATAGGCTTTCCACGAAACTGGCCGCTATCTTTTGTCAGGTGGTCACGACCAGATTATAAACCTGGTATGAAGGCGGTCTGCACAAATTTGTTGTACAATACTAACCCATGTTATAATGTAGTGGACTATTCCTGATCTCCCCAATGAACCTATTGATACGCCCCTGCAGGTTCATTATCCTCATTTTTCAACTTCAGCAGTGCACAGCGGCATCGTCGATTGGTGAGACTATCAAAGAGCAAAATGTTATAGCAGTGCTAATTGTTCTATAGTGTCTCATTTTATGGAGATCTTATCCTATCTAGAGCTTGTCACGATAACGTGATTGTCCTGTGGAAGATCGAAGGATTCTCCTCAGATGATCCTCTACCACCCCAGAGTACTGCTCCCACGCCACAAAATGTACTCCCGACGAATTACGAAGATCCTGGACGGCTTACGAGGTCTGCTTTCGTTCCCTTAACATCCCCTCAATGCCCAGTCCAATACACACGACTATTGGCATTCCACACTCCGAACTGCGGCCCTCAGTTTTTCATGCGCTTCAAGCTCCATCATGTGCCCAACCAGAATCCGGTGCTTGCGTTTTGTAATGCAGCAGGCAACATATTTTTCTGGGACTTGAAGCGACTGACTGCCCACCGCGATATCATGTCGTCGCTAGCAAATCATACGGACAAAAGCAAACCGATACAGCTTCCTAGTTGGCAGAAGCCCGTTATCCCGCGGGCAAAAGCAGATCCGCCAAGTAAGCCTCGTGCAGCCGGCAGTGAGCGAGATTCATCAACTCCAGTATATGTAAACCATTCAGATTCCCAGGAGTTCAGCCCGGAGACATTGGAATCCTGGGCGACCAAGTATAGCATGGATGACACGCACGAGCCGCTACGACACCATAAGATGGAGTCATCCTCGGCCAATTTTGTGGGCAGACAGGCATCTTGGAGTCCAGGAGGGGACTGGTGCGTCGTAGTTGGGAGCTCAAACACAGCTTTGTTGCTACAGCGCTGGGCTCAGAAATGAAGCCGCGAAGTAGGAAGGGAAGCAGAGAAGGCAGTCTTTCCCAACATCGTGCCTTGCTGCTCATAGGTGCATCCACGGGCGTCTCCTTCGTGTCTCTCTTGAAGAGAAGGCAGAGTTGCCACACCCAGCATTCCAAAAGCCGTAGAAAAGAAGAAGAATCATAATGCAAGGCCTATAAACCATAGCAGCCCAGGCCAGACCCAAAGACTTGTCATGAGTTATGGTACTATGGCCTTGAGGTGCTAGAATTTAGTAAACTCAAGTCAATGGAGAGAAGTGACGTTATCTCTCTTAACTGTAGAAAGCTCTCGTTTTTGGAGTAAGGCAATTGGTCGACTAGTTTCTCCATCCTTTGGTTAATATCTCGTAGGCCTGTGAGGGTGCGTTGGCTAATTGCTTCTCTTTGGTTTGCCCAGTCCATTTTCGTCTCATAATGCAGCCCAGAGTCCACGATCTCAAAATCAGATCGTCCACCAAGAGACTCATTCGTATTTGGTGACGACGACAGAACAGTATCACGCTGTGTAGAGTCCCCTTGTTGAAGTCTCGCTTCAGCTTCCAGATGAGCGATGCCCCTCAAATGCTCTGCGTAGATGGTGCTTAACTCGCAGCTAAGCAGGGCCAGCCAGAAGTCGACTGCTGAGACCTTGTGTGGCATTTTATGATCGTATGCGTATTGACGAATCAATATCTCAAAGTACGACTTAAGCTCGCTCATGTTGCTGGAAGAACCCCATCGTGGTGCGACCTTTTGAGTCTCATTGCTACCAGTGAATAGCTGCTCGTCAATCTCCTTCAGCTGCTCTCTCTGCCGCATCAGGATCTCCGACCCAATTGCCCAAAGATGGTGGAGACGAATGTCGATGGCTTCAGCCCGAGGCCTCAGTTGAAGAACGATTCCAAACGCTTTCGCTGCTTTCGCGATCTCCCCTTGAGCTAGGAATTGCTCAGTCGCACGTAGTAGGACATCCAGATGGCCCTTGCGATCATCCTCTCGGAGTCTCGATTTCTGCTTTCCATTCTCAGACTCAGACTGGTATTTCCTCTCTTGCTGCTCCAGATCTTCTAGCCCACGGTGCGGGAATTTTTTCACTGATGATCTTGGATTTTCATCTGCTTCCGAGACACCAGCGACAACGAGTTGAACATCGCTACGTGAATGGTCAAAACTGCGAGAATATCGAGCGTGAGATCTGCCTTCACTCCCATATAGAGGTTTTTCGAGATTCATGAATGGTATTTGTCTTTTTCTTTTTTTCTTCCTCTGTATTTCTTCTCCTTGCCTTGTTATTTAGGTCTTTCACTATGATGCCAATTGAAAGGTGAAAATAAAGTTGTGGAGAATTACAAATTCCACATAGTACTAGAAAGCTGCACGCCCCATCTCATGAGGAATTTATACGCCACAAATTCAAGTGACTTTCATTTCCATCCACGTCTGACATCTTATTGCACCTTTTTATTCATTATTGGGTCGTGTTCAAGCTTCAGAACTAACAAGCAAGGTATATATTATGCGGCATTCATCGAACTAGTGTTGAAAATCCTACTTGCATCACGCAACTAAAGCATTAGATATTCCTCAAGCCATATCGCGATTTCTTCGGTAGCTGGCCTAATAAACGCCCTCAATGTCAGCCAGCTCCTTATTATAGTGCTGAAAATTTAGAGGTGCTGCCTACTTCTTGCTCCGTCTGCAGGGTCTCGAGGACCGGAGCGAGTTCACTTAGGATCTCGTATGCCTTCTTGTGATATTCCATTTGGGCAGCAACAAGTTCGGCGAGGTTACGAAGTGGTTCAGGGGTGTCCAAAACCTATAGATGCAGTATCATTAGCTTCCGCAGGTGTTCTGGCACTGGGGAACAAATACACTTACGTTCTTCATCACACCAACCGCTTCCTCGGTCTGTGTCACGAACTCGTCCTCTGCTTTCTCGATTTCTTCTTGAGCATCAGCGCTGAGCTCTGCTTCGTCGGGACGGTCAGCCCGAGCGTGGCCGCCACCAAGTTTAAAGGTTGTTCCCTTTACACGAGCTTTGACAGCATCGAGGGTCAATCTTGAATTTTCAACATTCTTTCTAGCACGTGCCGCGAAGGTAAGATTGGTATTGAGGGTGGTGTTCCATCCTGCCAGGAACCGGCTTTGAATTTGTGAATCCTGAGCAAGGCGCGCGTCGCCCACTCGTTCCATAGCAAGTGCATATTTCTCGAGAGCCGTTGCCAGAGGATCTTCGCCAGCACCAGTGTGGTGCTGGTGCAGGAGCTGGCTGCTGGATAAGCTTGCACGAGAGATGGCATGGTTGAAAGTCTTCGGTTGCGGCTTCGCAGATGCTGGAGCCACGAGAGCTGCTTGGGCCTCTGCAGTAGATGTAGCCGAAGATAGAAGGCTGACCTTCTCACTCACAGTTCGGCCAAGATCTTGAAATGTCTCCTTGATGTTGGGAGGATAGTCATAGGCTTCGTTGGTATATTGCGAACTATTCGATTCTCTATGTTAGCAACGCATTGCCCCTCCGGGCGCAGTTTGAGCGACATACGTCACCGCAAGCATCTTCTGGTGGGCTTGTTTCAGAGCATCGACCTTTTTCTCGAGGTCGATGTAGTCGGCAGGAAGCTCAGTCTATGGCAACAAACAATTAGTGCCACATTTCCATGTTGTGCGATAATGTTGGCCTTGCGAATCACATACTCGATCATCTGCTTGGCCCAACTGCTCCTTGGTAAACTGGAAGGTCCGTGACGCAAACGGAGTAATCTGCGCACTGAAATCACTGCCAAAGTCGTTCGTACATGTTAAATATTGCTCAACAGCTCCTTCCAAGAAGGTGACTTACGAGAATCCCTTGCTAAATTTAGAGAAATCCATCTTGAATGTAGTTCTCCCGTGTATATGTGAGGTGAGTGCTTATCGCGAAGGTGCAACATAGACCGAAGCTTGTGATATCCTACTTCCTGGGTATCAGAAGCATAATCAGTATAATACCCCACACTATATACTATATTTAGAATTAACTTATTAAATTTTAACAATTAGTATATATTAAAAATAAAATAATAGAATAATAAATATAATAAATATAATAAATATAATAAATATAATATAATAAATATAATATAATAAATATAATAAATATAATAAATATAATAAATATAA